AGGAAAGAGTGGCTCCAGGTAGGGAGCAGCGCCCAGCAGGCACAGGGGGCACTGGTGGGGCATGAGGCACAACCATCCAGTTGCCTTGGAAGTTGTTAAAACAAGTTTATTCTACTGAATTGGGCCTTGGACATTGAGCACGTGGAAGAGTTAAGTTTAAACACACTGAAGGGATGGTACTGTGTGTATTTCGTTGCCTATAAACTACAGTAAGAGGAGGCCACCTAGGAATCATAAAGAAAGGGCATTTACATTTGGCCTCCCCAAGCGTGAAAAGCAAAGGCAATTCCAACTGCACCTGGAGGGAGGACGCTCCTGGAGGGGGACTTTTTCTCACAGGAGATGGAAGCTTCCACCGGAACCCCACCGTGTGATCCCGACCAGGGAGGGGCTCCGTGACCAGGGGCCCCAACTTCAGCTCAACCTCCAGCATCTGCGGGGTCAGCGGGAGCCTGCACGCAAAGCACTCAATGCGCAGCAGATGGTCCACTTCAAAAAGATCCCAAGAGTGCAGACGAAGAGCTCCAGAAACCTGCTTTTAAGACTAATTAGCATAACCGCGGGCCTTGGCGAGGACTGCCGTCCAGGGCACCAGAGTGCGGAGCGCACACCGGGTGACAGCGACGGGAGGTGGGCGCACACCCTGGGGGCGGCAGTGCGTCCAGACAGGTCCGGCCTCTCAGAGGCCCTGCGCAGCCTGCGCCCTCTCGGCGCTCCGCAGTGAGGACTGAGGAGGGGGCCCGCGCACGCGGGACAGTAGGGCCCAGGCCGGCCCGGACCGTGGGGCCCCGCGTAAGAGGCATAGTGGGGGTGGGTCCCGGCGACGGAAGAGGTCCTGGGGAGAGGCGGTCCCAGAGAGGGACTGGGGACGGGGGCTGCGACGTCAGCGGAGGGAGAGGGTCGCAGCCAGGAGGGCCCGGGCTAGAGGAGCCCGCGCTTCTGGACTCGGCCCACCGGAGGGGTGGAGCTCGGACCGCGGAGGAGGAGTCTGGGCGGAGGGAGCCGGGGGGCGGGGGCCCGAGCAGGGGCGGAGCTCGAGGGCGGGGCGGACCCATGGGCGGGGCCTGGGCGGAGGGCGGGACTGCGGGGGAGGGGAGACTAGCGGAGCCGGGCGGTGCGGGGAGGGGGGGGGGGGGGGAGAGGGGACGGGGGAG